GCCTGCTGCAGCCTCACCCAGCCGGGGCGGGGCTGGAAGGTGGCGGGTCTGGTCCTGTGTCACCGGGAAATGCAGAACCAAGCTGGCCGACCCACGCGCAGCAAAGCACCTTGGGTTGTGATGAAATGCCGAGGCATTTCAACGACTTCATTTGGCCCACAAAAGGGGGAATCGTGGAACGGGGAACGTCCCATTTCGGGGTTTTCGGGACACAACGTGTGTTGTTTCAAACTGACTCTCCCTTTCAAAGTGCCCCCTGTCACCGGGAAATGCAGAACCAAGCTGGCCGACCCACGCGCAGCAAAGCACCTTGGGTTGTGATGAAATGCCGAGGCATTTCAACGACTTCATTTGGCCCACAAAAGGGGGAATCGTGGAACGGGGAACGTCCCATTTCGGGGTTTTCGGGACACAACGTGTGTTGTTTCAAACTGACTCTCCCTTTCAAAGTGCCCCCTGGTTCGCACAATGGAACCGGCACCGGCCGGCCCAGCGGAGCGAGGGACACGGAGGGTTCTCCTGCTCGGGGCATTTTGTGGTGGGAAGCCGTTCGCCGGGTTAGCAACATCCTTGCTATGGTTCACGTGCCCACCTGACAGAATTTACCTGTGGTGCCGCCTGGGGCCCGCTGCAAGCAGCCAGCCAGAGGTCGCTCGGCCAGGGCTGGGAAAGGCAGGAGAAGCCAGCAGAGGCAAGTAACTAGCCCCCAGCCGGGCAGGGCAGAGCTCAGCACACAAGGAGGTTTCCTGATTCCTCCTCGAGCCCCGTGTCCACGGGCCTCTCGGCAAAGAGGGAGAAGCCGACCCGCATTGCACGGCCCTGGTGTACGACTCCGGCTCACGCTGCCACCCTTCCCAGCGACCCTTTGGACGGGAGCGCCCGTGCGCAGGGAGCGTATGCAGGGAAGAGATTAAATGGCTCCTGGTTTTGCTGGAGAGCTGGGAACGTTCAGAGATCTGCCCTTGGCCCTGGCTAGCTCCCTGCAAGGTCCGTGTGGGCGGCCCCTCTCCTGAGCTCGCGGAGCGCCACACGCAGGAGGCAGACGCGGCTTGGGAAGTGTGTTGACATAGATAAGAGCTGGGCCAACTGACGGATGCTCTCAGTCGTTATCACCTGGACCTCAGCTGCTTCAGGGCAGGAGATGACCCTGGCATGTCCCTATCTCCTCCCTGTGCCCCGCTCCGCCCTAGAGCAGTTGGAAGGGAGTAAATGGTTCAAAGATCTTGCTCTGTTCCAGGCCCAGAGCACGCCCTCCAGGAGCAGAAATCCCAGCTGCAGAGGGTGGCCTGGGTCTATCAATCCCCGCTCCTGCAAGCCATGCTATGGGTTGACCAGCAGCGTGGGCCCCTGGCCCCACGCCGGGACCCCGCTTCCAACCTGGCTCACG